CACACTCTCACAGACGACACACACACTCTCACACAGACACACACACTCTCACTCTCACAGACGACACACACACTCTCACACTCACACAGACGACACAGACACACAGACACACACACTCTCACACACACCACCTCCGCGGCTAGACTAGTTAGTCCTTCACTCACTACTGAACTACTGCACTAACAACCCAAACAACCACAAATGAGCTTCACATGCAAGAATTCGTTGCATTATCATTCAACATCAATTTAACCCTGAAAGGCCTAATATATAAAATAATAGTCTGGAGAAGAAAAAAAAGGAGTATCATTTGTTCTATCAAGCTTTTAACGGCTCATATACTCCGCTCTAGTGAGAATGTGGAGGAAAAACAGCTCAATTTCATTCAAAGAAATACGAATCTGCTGCAGATGCTGATATTTATATGATGAGATTCTGCTGCTTGTGATGTAAATCAGTGACAGCTTTCTAACAGTAGAGCAGATGCTGACATGATCTAAATATCAGTCGTGGCTCTATATCTCCAGTAATATAAGATGAGAGTGAAATGCTCCAAACATATAATGCAGTGATGGAGAGCTGAAGAAATAAAGGCTCCTCAGAAGATGTGAGATGTTCTGGAGGCTTGTGAAGATCATTCCTCCGCTGAGGAACAGTGAAAGTAAAGCTTCTGGAAACAAACGCTCCTCAAAAGATCCTGAGGATCAGATTTGAGACTCTAAAACATGATTGATGGAGAATCAAGTAAAGCTGAGCTGCTTCAGTCCAGTAAGTGTTCATCTGGAGATATTACTGCAGTTATTCTGACCTTTACTTGATCAAAACCAGTCAAGATCCAGAATTACACTGAAAGAGCTTCGACTGGATAACACACTCTAAACTCTCAATCAGAGACAGAAGACGTGCAGCAGATTGAGGGACAGCAGAGTCTGATGGCTTCAAAGCCTGAGAAACTTTTAGAGATCTCAGGTGACCTGCTGGAGATCCAGCTCCAGGAGGAGGCTCTTCAGCTGCTCCACGCCGCTGGTCCGCTTCTGATAGTTCTGGAGGTCCAGGAGCTGCGCGTGTAACTCCTGAGGAATCAGCCCATAAATCATCATGGATGCTGCTGATCAGAGTCCAGACGGAGGCAGGGGCGCACGGGAATCGCTCATGGTGATGAGGGACGGGAAGCGTCACATGATGCGGCCACAGACCTGCAGTCCAGAGGAAAACACTTGACCCTAGAGCACAGAAGCAGTGTTAAGGGTCCATTTTTCTAAATTGAGATGTGTGCATCATCTGAAAGCTGGATACATAAGCGTTCCATTGCTGTAGGGTTTGTTAGGATCGGACACGATTTGTAAATCTGGAATCTGAGGGTGCAAAAAAAAATCTAAATATTTAAATGCACAAATTCACTTTATTCCCAAACGTGTTCGTCATCTTTCAAGCTAATATACTTACTCGAGATTTAACTCAGTGTCACATTTGCGTGTTCACGGTTCTCTGACATTGCAGGTCAACTAATAAAACAGTGATTATTTTAATTTTAGATTTTAATTATTTGCTTTTAATTAGACTCGCGAACCCCAGTTTAGGAAACCTTTCTGTTGTAAATAACAACTTTTTTTTTTTTTTTACATCAATATGGTACACGACTGTCCTATTTAAACCGCTAAGATAAAGTCATCTGGTTACATTACCTAAAGCGTGTATCGTAATGTAACGGATTGCGCTACTGTAATCTGTAATCAGTAACGACTCGAAGCCACAGCAACGGCTGGTTTTCAAATCGAGTCAGTGACGAATATTCGTTGAGTATTCGGCGGGAAACCACCTGTGGCTGTTCTGCAGCACTCCCTCGAGATCCTCGCGTCTGACGCGCGTTTAATCGTGAGGCGATTCTTCGGCGTTTGTCTGGGATTTCCTCGGTTTTCTCGCAAATCGACGATACGCTATTTAAAAACACCCACGCGAAGCTGACTGAAACCTGGCGTGTTTTAGTGAGAATCAAACCTGTCCTCGCAGATCGCTGCGACTAACGTCCAGATCCTGTGCGGTTCTCGACGCGACTCGGTCTGATTCGCCGAATCGACTCCCTCTGGTCTGAACTTGTCTGATTTTCGGTGTTTTTCCGTCGGATTCTGATTTTCTCGCTGCTTCCATCACAACACTCAAGCAAAATGGCGCTGATGTCACAACCAGCCGCTGCCATGGCGACGCGCCCTCTAACCCCGCGGTGCATTGTGGGAGGTGTAGTTCAACGGACGCATTTGCGTCTGAAGACCTGAAGACAGACAGAGACAGCAACGCTTTCGTTTGAATAATGTTATTATTTGAATTGTTATTTCGGCTTCATCAGGGCTTAAAGAGTAGAAATAAAAAAGGTAATTTAAAAACAAACAAAGATTCAAAGGCTTAATATTCTGATTATTAGTATTATTCAATTATTTAATATTATTATACTATTTAATGCACACACACATATTATCTGCACCTGAGGTGTAGTTTTAAGATAAAAGGTATTTTTAAAGTGCAGTCGCGTCAGAGCTTTTATTTTGCTCCCCGCGCTTATTTCCCGGAAGTGACGCACGTGCTGATTTGTGTTTGTTTTCCTGACAGTCGCGGCCGTGTTGCGCTTCAAACTGCCAGAAGTCAGCCAGACAGCACAGGTAAACTATGAGTAAACTCTTTTATTTCTGCACTTTAGCGCTCTGCACGAGCGCCTGACCGAGCGCAAGCGCGCGTTTGTCCCGAGTGCTCTGATGCTAATGCTAGCTCCAGCTTTATTCGTTCTCTTCAGCGGATTGATGAAGATGAAGATGGTTGTGATCTCTGATATTGACTCTCAACACTCCTGATGTGATCTCTGCTGTTCGTGTGTGTGTGTGTGTGTGTGTGTGTGTGTGTGTGTGTGTGTGTGTG